CTCAGGACATCAGTCAGATGGATTTAATCTGCTTTGTACTGGAGAAGTCAACAGGGCCTGCTTCCAATGTTTTTCTTGCCATTACAGGTGGAGGGGATTGTTTGCCACTAGAAACTGATATTTTTGGGCACTTTTCCTTAAACAGTGTATATAAACAGGAGAAAATGTAACATGGGAAGATTTGTATTTTTTTCTCTAGCTGATCCAAAATATTATAAACAGTGTCATGCACATATGCTCATGTTCGGGTCTACTGCATCATCATCTGTAAGAGCACCTTCCTCCCAGTCATTTCCTCTTTGTATTTGCTTGCCATCACTGAGGTAACTACAGCAATTACTGTCTGGTATGTAATGTTGGGGGGAATTGTACCTTTTAAATTATCTTTTAAATGTAGTGTAAATGCTGGAAATAGGTCAGGAAAACTACCAGTTCGACCAGGTTAGGCCCAACTGCTTTATAGCATAGACATATCTTTTTGCTAAGCATATGGCTGCCTAACATACTGCTTTTTTCTCTGTTTGCTCTTTTTCTCTGTAAATCCTTAGTTTTTTTCAGCAGAGACACAGCTTTCCAAAAAAGCCAACCATGTCTTGGGCTGTGTCAAAAGAAGTGTGGCCAGCAGGTTGAGGGAGGTGATTCTCCCTCTCTGCTCTCATGAGACCCCACCTGGAGTGCTGTGTCCAGTTCTGGAGCCCTCAGCACAAAAAGGACATGGAGCTCCTGAAGCAAGTCCAGAGGGGGGCAATAAAGACAACCAGGGGACTAGAGCACCTCTCCTATGAAGACAGGCTGAGAGAGTTGGGGTTGTTCAGCCTGGAGAAGACTACAGGAAGACCTTACAGCAGCCTCCCAGTACCTGAAGGGGCCCACAGGAAAGCTGGGCAGATGCTTTTCGCCAGAGAGGGTAGTGATAGGACAAGGGGTAATGGTTTTAAAGTAAGGTAGATTTAGACTAGATATATGGAATAATTTTTTTACAATGAGGGCAGTGAAGCACTGGAACAGTTTGGCCAGAAAGGCAGATGTCCCATCCCTGGAAACATTCAGGGTTGGAGAGGGCTCCAAGTGACTCGATCTAGTTGAAGATGTCCCTGCTCACTGCAGAGGGGTTGGACTAGTTGGCCTTTAAAGGTCCCTTCCAACACAAGCCATTCCATGATTCTAGATCTTCACATTCACTGACTGCAAGGCTGCTTTTTGTTTTAGCTTTCTAGGTCATCAAATTATGCTAAAGGCAGCTAAAACACGCGCTCCCTCCTTATTAACAGCCTGCTAAAAGCCATACGCACGATTCCCAGGCGGCTGTGCCCGCGGGTACAGCCCGCACCTCCCAGTGCCACAGACGGCGCCGCACACGGCAGCCCGGGCTCACCGAGGGGACAGACCAGCGGCCAGGAGAGGAGCCCGCAGCAGGAGGCCTTCCAGAACCTTCAGCCACCTGCGGCCGCGACCGCCGGGAGCCCAGAGCGACGGTTCTTCACCTCAACATGGCGCC